CCACTTATTCGTACCTATTTCCTGTATTCTTACTCATGTTTATACTTCTACCTGTTATCCTGTAAATGATTGATAAATCAAATAAATAAATAAAAAATAAGGAAGGAAAGAAGGAGGAAGGGGGAACGAAGGAGAACGGAAGGGAAGGAGGGAGGAGAGAAAAGGGAGGGAGTGGGAGGAAGAAGGAAAGAAGGAAGGGCAAAGGAAGGAGAACAAGGAAGGGGAAGGAAGGAAAGAAGGAAGGAGAGAAAAAAGGGAGGGAGAGAGGAAGGAAAGGAGAGAATTCCCATTCCTAAGAGGTCTGTAAAGGGCGTGCATAAGTGCACCATCGTGCCTCCCGTCCCTGTCCTATTGTCCTCATTTATTCGTACCTATTTCCTGTATTCTTACTCATGTTTATACTTGGTCCTGTTATCCTGTAAATGATTGATAAATCAAATAAATAAATAAAAAATAAGGAAGGAAAGAAGGAGGAAGGGGGAACGAAGGAGAACGGAAGGGAAGGAGGGAGGAGAGAAAAGGGAGGGAGTGGGAGGAAGAAGGAAAGAAGGAAGGGCAAAGGAAGGAGAACAAGGAAGGGGAAGGAAGGAAAGAAGGAAGGAGAGAAAAAAGGGAGGGAGAGAGGAAGGAAAGGAGAGAATTCCCATTCCTAAGAGGTCTGTAAAGGGCGTGCATAAGTGCACCATCGTGCCTCCCGTCCCTGTCCTATTGTCCTCATTTATTCGTACCTATTTCCTGTATTCTTACTCATGTTTATACTTGGTCCTGTTATCCTGTAAATGATTGATAAATCAAATAAATAAATAAAAAATAAGGAAGGGAAGGAAGGAAGGAAGGAAGGGGGAACGAAGGAGAACAGGGAAGGGAGGGAGGGAGGAGAGAAAAGAAGGGAGGGAGTGGGAGGAAGGAAGGAAGGAAGGAAAGGAGAGGAGAGGAGAGAATTCCCATTCCTAAGAGGTGTGTAAGGGCCGTGCATAAGTGCACCATCGTGCCTCCCGTCCCTGTCCTATTGTCCCCATTTATTCGTACCTATTTCCTGTATTCCTACTCAGGTTTATACTTATACCTGTTACCTTGTAAGGCTTACAATGTAAGCGACTGACAAATCAAAATAAATAAATAAAACGTGGTCCTGTCCACCATTAAACCCTCTTTCCAAACAGCCTCCATGTTTCCAGTGTATTTCTCTCCCCGCCTGGAATTGAACACGGAAGGATATTTCTTCCAACACCAGGATTCGATCCCCTTGACCAGTTAGGGATCCTTTTTGTTGCTGGTTGGGGAGTGACTCTCTTCGTGGCTTCCATCCTGCAAAATATTAAATTAAAGAACGGGGGGGGGGGGGGGGGAATCGGTGCAATTAAAACCCCATCAGTGATTTATTCCCGCTTTCTCATTCCAACAACCCTGCAGAGTCAAACTGGCAAGGGGAAACTCCAGTAGGAGCCCATATTATTTTAAATTAAACAAAGCCCTGCTTCTTTCTCCCCAGCAGAGAAATAATAACAATTAAAAAAAGAGAAATTATTGTGGCCTCCAGATTTCCAACTTCTTCTCTCCCTCCACCCCAGAACATTTGCTTTGTACTTTGGTGCTTTGATGAATCTGCTAATGAGCTTCACTCTTATGAAGGTACCTCAGATCACGCCGGAGATGCTACTGTCTTCTGGTCCTGCATGGAAGGGAGAAAAAAAAAACCCAAAAACTTAAATTCTCCATTTCCAGCTCAAAGCAGAAAAATTCGGTCTCCAGGTTTCTTTGTTTTGGTTTTTTCCCCGCTTTTAAATGGCCAAAGCTTTAAACAAAGGAGAACAATTAAAAAAAAAAAAAGGAAATGGAAACGAGGTGAGATTTTGCAACAGG